CCTAAACCCTAAACCCTAAATATAACGCAACGGCCCCGAGCCCAACGTGATCTCAGGTTTATCCTCTTTTGCTGCCTGGCAGCGGCGCTGTGGTTCTGGCAGCATGCCCTGGGAACTTCTGGTCAGCTGCCACTGCTGCAGCAACCAGTGATAACAAGGGGCAAAGCTATCAGCAGGCCTTATAGGGAGTAATGTATGTAGTGGTTCATTTTTGCTGGGATAACAGGGGTCGAAAGCCTTTTCGAAACCCTAGATATTGATGTAAGATTAGGGTTCACTACGAATTCGCAGCATTAAGTCTCATCTGAGTTGAGGAACAACAAACCTCCCGATAAGCCAAACTTGACAAAATCCCAGCATTAAATCTCATCTGGGTTGATGAACATAACACCCCGATAAGCAAAACCATGCATAATCCCAGCATTAAGTCTCATCTCCCCGATAAGCAACATCTGTCAAATCCGGCATGACGTTTATGTTCATCTGAGTTTATGAGCATTAACCCCGGTAAGCGAAGCCTGCGTGTCCAGCCCCTGAAACTTCCAGGAAACCACAACCGGCCCCAACCTTAACAAGCCACCACAAATTTAAAATACCTCAGACCCACAAACACTACCAGAACACCCATCCTACGAGCCGAACAAAGCAACACATGCGACTCGCCCGCAACCCGATATATCCCAACAACTCCTGCAGTAGTGCAAAATCAATTCTTGTAGGCAGCCCAGAACCCATGAAGGACTCGCACCCTAGTGGCCCCAATCATGAGCAGCGAACCCTTACACAGCCGATGCAACCCATTCAGACAAAGGGGGCCGAGCAACCAGTGCAGGTTTGTCGTTCCTGTGTTATGTAAACCCGCGTATGCGTAGACTTAGGGTTTAGGGTTTAGGGTTTATAGGGCTAGAGGACAGAGGGCTAGAGGACAGCGCAGCACTAATAGAGAAAACACTGTAATAACAATCTCACGTTATAAGACCCGGAGCCTGCTCATTGTGTAGCACGATCTCAGGCTATGGCTTCGGTGCAACATTTGGGATCGGTGCCTTTGGTGTGCCGCGGCCATAGGATTCTAGAGCTGTTTAGGCATTCAGAATGGATACGCATAGCTATATATAGCACATATATCAAAGTAGCTTCAGCCGGGGGCCCCCATGATTGAACTCAGAACTGCTACTTAAAGGGGGATGTCGCTCAGAGGCACCCAATGACCCCTCAGAGCTTCTCTGATGAGGAAGTTGCGCAAGTCATTCAGGTTGGCAGCATCCCAAGATGGAATCTCCTGGGCTTCCATGTTGTGCGAAAAAGTAAACATCTTGCAAAGTGCCCGGAATTAGTGACTAAGTAGTGCATAATCGCCCGTCGAGTCAAGACACCAAAGTCTTCACGGCCTCGACCATGTCGGGCAGGGCCAGCTGGGGCCCACGTTCTTCCTGTAGATAAAGGCAACAAATTTAAACAACTTGTCATCGTCACTAGCTAGACAGCACTGGAGTTGACAGTGACCTGCCTCTTGTCTGTTCTGATCCAGATGCAAGTGAGCAATTGCGCGTGCGAAGCCCGGCGGATAAGCTGCAGTATCGGCTAATTTCTTCGTACCAGTCCTCAGAGCTATGTCTTGTGCATAATATTGGCTTCAAATTACCTAGATCCGATGAGTCGTGACACGCAGAATTGATTTCATCTCCCTAGAACAACCAAGGCACACAGCGTCCAAGCCACCGCGACGCTTGACTCGTTTTACAACCTGGGCCGCACCTTTGGAGAGTTTTGTCCTGTCCTCTTTCGTCATGGTGTTGCGGATGCCACCAAGCCACTTCCTCAGCTCGAGCACATCGTTGTAACATAGCACAGTACCAGCTAAGGCTCGGTTTATGGTTTGGTTTTTTTATATAGACGGGATAATACATGCTATTCGGAAGCGAAGAAACATGTACACCTGTACACATTTGGGGCACGGAGATTGAACTAAGGCTAGCACGAGCATCCCATGAGATAGGAAGGCTTGGCGTTGCTGGCCCCGTAGAGGCCCATCCAACTCGGTTCCAACATACACAGCATCAAGTGCGACTATCTGGTTCAGGCGGCACTTTCGAAGAACGATTCTACTCCAAGAAAATGTGACAAGGCACAAGCCACAAACGTCCCAAGGACCTCCAGAAAGAGTCAAAACGTCCCTCAGGAAGGTAAAGAGGGGGATGTGCTTGAGGACACTTGATGCTGGCTGCTCGATAGCCGACCAGCACTTGCGAGTTGTTGCCACATACAATAGCAAGCAAAACCTGCTGCAAATCATGTTTCCAATCTGGACACCTCGGATTCACAAAGTCAGTTAAGGATTAAGGTATGTGTTGGACCTTGCCTACAAATATGAATCACTGCAACCGGGGATCTGGGTTCGCCCGTATCTCCCCATGGGTGCTCTGGGTTGCGCTTGTGCACAGACTTTGACATGAAGATCATATTGCAGCATGGGTGGCCTGCCCACATCAACCCTCCTGCTTGAAGTCGCAGTGTCTTCTTGAGCAAGCCGAGGAAGCCTATCGTAGACAAAATATTTTCTTCGATCGGGGAGTTCTGCATGTCGTAGGTCGACCTGGGAATTGTTGCAAAGATTAAACATTGTACCACTGGTCACACATGCGAGCTCCAAGCACGTGTGCATATAAGTGCCCTACACCCGGTGCCCACTCTCCTGGAAGGCAGCAGCAACACGGCCCACCCCAGAGAATGCCTCAAGCAGCATCAAATCCTGAGTGTTCTGTTGAACTACAATACACTCACACTGTGTGACCCAACAGCCCTGTGAAAGAAGCCGAGGCATCGTCTCGGCAACGTGTCTTGTCAGCAATCGACGCGACATAGTGCGCAGCCTGTAGCCTGAGACACAGATCACACACAGCACCAATTCTTGAACATCCGGGGCGTCACGGGTGGGGCACCTGACTTGGTTCCTTGGATTCAAGGATTTGGGCTTGAACTGTGTGGCTCTTCGTCTAATTGGTCCAGTCCTATATGAGTTCGCTTGGTGCGCAACACAGACTTCAGAAGACCAGCATGTTTTAGGCAGTCAAGCGGCAGGAGTGTCGGTACCCCTAACGCCACCAGCATGGCAGTAGAGGAGCCACTCAAAGAGAGTGGAAAAATACTACAGTCCATCCCTGGGCAGCTCTGCTTTGCTATGCGAGGGGTTCCCCAGCACCAGCTGGGCCACGTAAAAGCACGGCCTCAACAAAGGTTTGTTCTCACGCCTGGTCATGACTGATCAAACACAAGGCTTCACATTGCGAACAAGATTTTTAAAGTCTTGCGGAAAGCAGCTTCTGAGATCAGCAGCAGAGAACGGCATTGCCGTTCAACCTCCCCCACGCAGAGCTGCATGCTGTTAAGATTTGCAACTATCTGTATTAATGCATCTGCATTGCCAGTTCCGGATGCGTGAGATTTTGGTAGCTCGTGCATGCCATGCCTGCATATGCCCCGCATTGAAACAAAAAGACCGCAACTTTGCGGCGCAGATCGTCACATCCTACAGAAACTATTGCCCATGCTTCGGGGGATCAAGCCGCAGCTTCGAAACCATCTCTCTCA